CAGAATAAAATTTATAAATATGTTAAAATGTTGTATTAAAAAAGAGCATTTTAAACATTGCGATGTTGGCAACACCACTAAAGTTTTCCTTTACAGGTTTATTCTGTTGCTCTTGGTGTATGGAACCACTCATTATTTAACCACTTTTCGAATATACCTACAGGGTGGGGCCTGTCATACGCCGCGGAAACGGTAGTTTATATCGAAATGAAATTTTGTCAGCATAAATGTAGGTTAACTGAGAGCATTTTATAAAAATATATAGAATTATACAGGGTGTCCCGAAAAAACGTTACAGATCAAAGTTTGTGAAAAGAAAAGTGTTTTTTCTAATAGAACGAACACCCTATATATTAATTGATTTTCGGATTTTAGGAAAAAAATAAAGGTGAGTCTTATTAAAGAAGCATATACCTAAAATCTAACGATTTTGGCATATTTCACATTTTGTGAAAATGAAGAGTAAATTCTAAATTTTTATAACAGCTACCTAAATTTTAGATGACCTTATATAGCCTAATATTTAATTACAGTAACCATTGTATGTTAAACCAAATTGAAATTTTACTCGAAAAGTTATGCAGGGTGAGCAAAACTAATATAGAACATTAATCACTTTTAAAAGCAAGTTACTCCTTTATCTTAAATGGAACAACCAGTATAGTATTCCGGTGTTCAAATATTATCAAGGTTGCCTACCCCTCAGACAAAGATTTTTCTAGATATTTTAATTTTCATGATTTTGCGTCAGTAGATTTTTACTATAGCCACCCTAGAAAAAATCTAGGGTGGCTGTGTTAACAAAAATTAAAGATTGTAGAGTAAAATACTCAACGGTAATAAAAATATTTAAACGTTTAAAACATATTTTAATTATTACAGAATTAAAAACTAGATATAAACCTATAATTATGTGACAAAAAATTAGCTAGATGAAATCAAATACTCAAAATGCTTCCTTTCCTGTTAACTGCATAAAATGATTGTCTTTTTAAAAGGATCTTTACATTTTAAAAGGCATTATATGGAGTTCTACTGCGAAAAGCAGCTACAATAATTTCTCTCGTGTTGTCGACAATAGTTGGTCGAGTTTTATAAACCCTGTCTTTAACATATCCCCATACAAAACACACTAGACAAAATCAGTAGCATTTAAGTATTATATTAATTCTCTCTGATGTAGAATAAGTTTGCATTTTCGGCAAATTTCTGTGAATTTTTTTTGTTGTAACTGACACAAGATAATAACTAGTTGTTAAAGTTGGATTAATTAGACAGCTATGTTGAAGTAACGTCAGACATATGACACATCACAGCCACCTATATTTTATCAAATATAAAAGATCTACTCAGATCAAATCATGCAAATGAAAATATCTAGGAAAATCTTTGTTTGAGGGGTAGGCAACCTTAATAGTATTTTGAAGAGACATGAATTCTCCACTTAATATCGGAGTAATATACTGGGTGTTCCATTTAAAATAAAAGAGTAACATACTTTTGAAGATGATCAATGTTCAATATTAATTTTGTCTCACCCTGTATAACTTTTTGTATCAAGTTTTAATTTGATTTAAAGTACAATAGTTAATTTAGCTACATATTAAGTTATACCGGGTAAATTACAATTTAGGTAGCTTTTATTGTAATTTAAAAATTGTTCTTTATTTCTAGAAAATGTTAAATATGTCAAAAACCTTACATTTTAGTCATATACTTCTTCTTGGGGGACACCCTGTAGAACTCTCTATATTTAAAAAATGCTCTAAATTAACCTACATATGCTCACAAAATTTCATTTCAATTCAAACTGTCGTTCTCTTTGGAGTCTCCGCGGCGTATGATAGGTCCCACCCAAAGAAATTATAAAGATAGACCGAACATCTCATTCATAAATACTCGTTGGTAGTGTATCAAACATTCCAATGTGTCAAACAAGGACAGAAGAGACAGAGAAGTCTAAAATTTCCGACCCCAGCAACTAGGCGCATTTGGATTGTTCTACTGGCCAGTGGCGTATCGTTTTTTGGAACGAATTTAATTAGTAAAGTAAAAGTAAAGTAATTAGTAAAATTTTTACTCCATATTAATATACTACATTAACACTTTTTCGTCAGATGAGTTTTGTTATAAGGTCTAATTTAATAATACAATTAATATCCCACATATACTTATGTTGAAACGTTAGTAGTTTTCGAAAATCGCTCCAACGTCGATTTTCAATTTAAACTTTCAGTTACTTCTATATAAACTTTCAGTTACTTTTGAATATTTACAGGGTGACTCAGGCTTCCGAAACAGTTCTATATTAGGTTTGTGGTTGGTGACTTTTCTTTCAATTTTTTTTTCAGAATATGGAGGCATTTGGCACATTTTAGATATTTTTGTAAACATAGGTGGCCGGAACATATTTTCAAACCAAAGTTGGAGATTTGCCATTAAATTTCCAGTCCAGAAATACCTATGGTTGCCACTTGTCCTTTTTTGAAAAGGACAGTCCTTTTTTAGAATAACTGGTCCTTTTGACTTTTTTTGACTTAAAAAGTCATTTTTATTTACGTATTTTCCCTGAGAAAATTACCTACAGCAAACAGAAATATTCTTTTTGCCCAAATTTTATTAGGAATGTTATAAAACTTAACTTATAAATAAATTTTTCTTGTTTAGAATATGCAACATTATTTAGAACTTCCCGTTTAATCTCAAATGATAGTTTAGGTTTTAGTTTTACCTTTTTTTTATCTTAAAAAGAACCTTTCAAAATTAGTACCTAATTAGTAACGATTTAGTTAGTTCGCAATCGATAGCTTCCTGTGAAGTACTGTGTAATAGTTGTTTAATCTTGTATTATTAATAACTTCCTATACCTAAAATCAATATTTAATGAGAAAATTGTGTTTGTTTTTGAAAATATGAGACAAGATTTGACTTTCGGTCTTCTTTTTGTATTATGATGGCTCTGATACGAGGCAATTGCCTTTTAGTCTCGCAATAGAAGGCATTGAAGGCACAAAATCTGTGTGCTACAGTATGGGATTTCTGTCGCATAATAATGAATACCTATTACGTTTATTTACAAATCCATTACTTTTAAAGGTAGCTTCATCAGATAATCAAATTTTAGTTAAATGTCCTAATCTTCATGAACTGTATTAAGCATATGTATTGCGGTTTGAATCACCCTGTATGTTGACAAAAATATTTGAAAATGTGCGTTACAATGGCCCCCATCTTATGTAAAAAATTGAAATAAAAAATCACAAACCAAAAACGTAATAGGTAAAAAGCTTTTTGGAGGCCTGGGTCACTCTCTATATAGGAATGCATAAAACTAGTAGCCTAAGAATTATTTACAGTTCGTCCCATTCTAAAAAGAACACACCGTACAAATAACTCTAGGAAGATGTATTTGTACGGTGGTAAAAAATTGTCTAAACAAGGCCGAAGGGGCAGATATAATAAAGCAATAAAATGTAAAAAAGGTCGGGTAAACACCTTTGTTTATTTGTTGAGCAAAATTCCTTTAGAATATCGTATATAATGACCAAAATAGGACGCAATTTTTAAAAAAAAATGTCACTTTCTGGCTTATAATGAAGTTTCAAATGTAACGTTTATATTCAAATTTGTTATGATCTACAACAGTTAGGTAGTAATTGAGACGAATTATAATTTAATTACCGGCTACTACGTTCTTGTTTTAATAGATCAAAGTTCAACAAATATAATTGGAAATTATTTTAATTGTGAGAGGCTCCCTTGTGGGACGCCTATGTACGATTACGGCGCGGCGGGAACAATACCTACCTGTGAAAAGACAAATTCGGGTAATTTGAGCTTATTTGTCCACACATTTGACACAGTCGTACCATATTGAAAATTCGCAGCTTCAAAAGTATATTAAACAAAAACAAAAACTACTGAAAAACACTGAAAAGTTAACTTCGGTCTTGATTCCGACTTCAAACACACCGTAAGCTAAACGGACCATGGGCCGTCGCGAGGGGTGGTGGGACGGACGACTCATTTCATTCTGGAAGACTAGCAGCGACGTTGCCAATAGTTCTAGACGTTTCAGCACATTAAACAGTAAACATGTCCTTTAATAGTAACGTATATATCCTCTGGTTAATAACATATTATTACGCATGCTTCTTTAAAAATAAACTATTAATTTAATTAAGAAATTGAGATTTATTGATATCCGGTGAAGGTTTTAAATTCACCTTTTCTGCAAATCAAACCAAGTAGATAGGCGCAAATTTGATATGTGGCAATGTCGCCTTCTCTATCTCAGTTGGTTTTTACAGTACGTAGTCAACCTCCGAATGTTTGATCGGGTTAAAATGCATAATGTGATATCTGTTCTTCCTAAATCTATGGTCCCACCCTGTATTGTTGTTTAAAGTTCTAGTAATAAGAAATAGAATGGCAACAACGCATCGTGCTTCAAATAAAATTAATGTACTATATGCAAAGTTAAATGTTTATGCCGAATACAAGTATCTACAGAAAAATGAGATGCGCAAATTAAAAAAAAAACTTTTTAAAACGTGATCATAACATTTTTGTAATACACTACATATATAAAACAAAATATTAGGATATGTCGCTTTGTAAACCATGCAACATCTGTATAAAAGTGTTTTCATATCTTCAACAACGACGGTATTGGACTTTCTCGCACTAATGGGCCACCCTGTATATTAAAACTTTTCTATCTAACACTTTTTTGGTCTAATTAATTATGTATATCAAGCAATCATTAAATTAATAAGAAATTGCCAATTTTAATTACATTTTTTAATATCTTTTTTCAAAATTTATCAAGAACTGTTTCAGTTCTATAATTATTCTATTATTATATTATATTATTCTATTATTATTCTATATTATTCTATAATTTAATTCTTAAGTTTAGGAATAATAAATAACATAGACTTTATTAGGAGAAATCAATAAATTATTAATATTTTTTTATATGTTAATTTCATTCATCCCTAAATTGTCAGAATTGTCAGAATATATTTAACAAGTTATTAATTCGTATTTTATGACAAATCCTTGGTTTTGTGTCGGTTTGGTATCTGCAGTGGTTCCTATAGCTTTGAAATGGATGTAAAATGGCCCTGGGACAAAACCTAGAAAAATATTGAATTATTTGAATAGAAATTCACATGTATATTAATTTATTGGGAATTGCAAAGATGGGAAAATCACTATTTTTTTCACACTAAAATAACAGTAAAAATTGACATCAATTAACAATTTGTTAAAGCTTATTGAACAGAATGCGGACAAAACACATTTAAATAAACAGCAATATATTTTATAAATCGCTACCTCTTCGTATGTCTTCGTATGTTTACAAGAGGAAAAACTTTTTTATTATTAGCATTTTGAGAAAAATGCATTCTTCATAAAAAAAATTGTTCTAAAATTGTTAATCCCGTTTATACTTTTCCAAATTTCCATACTGTTTTAGAGAAAATTATAAAAAAAACATGAAACTAGGGTTGATTTTTTACTAAGTCCTAAAAACAAAACGCGTTTCTATGGTATCGATTCTATTTCGATTTCATTCTTTGATGGATGGTTATTATCAGGGGCGGGAAAGTGAAATAGCAAAAGCGGTTCCACCGTTTCCACGGAAATCTCAAAAAAAATAGTTCCAGCCCTAGCCACTAGGTGGTAGTGCAATTAATTTTTAGGTTAAGAAGTTGCTACTAGTTATTGCCAGATGGCGTTAAATCAGATTTTTTTTGTAGTTTCCATAGTTTCCAACGGCCATTGTCATATTATTGGCAAATTCTCAAAAAATATTGTCGTTGTCATAGCGCCAATCATAATATTATCAAATAAATGATTATCAAAACGTTTTTCAAACTATAATTTGTTATATGTGTTTTAATTAGACAATTCCTTTTGTTTGTGGCGCTAAAAATATAATGTAAGTCTTTTATTTTTGCCATCATTTAAGTACCTATTTATATTTACTCCATTTACAAAACTTTGGGCGTATTACGTTTGTCTTGTTTTATTATAATAAACGATGTTTAAATATTTGACTTATAAATAAAAACTTTAAATAATAAATAATATTTCACATGTTTGGCTTTAATTTTATTTAATAATTGTATAAATTATTCTGTTAAATCTTATTTTTTACACATCACAACGATACTTGTTATTAGTATTGTTGAATTTGTGTAAAAAATAAGATTTAATAATCAATTTGTATATATTTTAGAGTAAAATTCAATAAATACGCTCATTTAAAAAGCCCGCGCTTCGGTCCATTTCAAACAATTATCACCCTTCCCGTAGCATTGAACTAAATAAATTTTATGCTTCTTTAACATTTTAAAACAGACAAAAAATATGACTTTAATTAAAATTCTATCAATAACAATCAATCAAAGAATGAAATCGAAACTATATTACCATAGAAACGCGTTTTGATTTTTTCAGTGGCGGCTCGTGACCCGTGTAACTGAGTAGGCGACAAAATTTTAGTTGCGTCTATTTACCCCACCCCCTCCCCAAACAATGTTATCTAATATTTCATAAAATAAAATTCGCAAAGATATTTGACTTACCGCTTTTATTAACATATCGAATTGAAATAGAACAGAGACTTTTCTGTAATATCTGTTGTATCGTCTTCTTGCACAGAATAAAATAACGCGCTTTTTTTTATTTCGGATTCTTTTATTTCTGTGGCGTGTTCTGAAATACAACCGGTTATATCATTTTTAATAATCTCGGACAAGCCCGAAAAATGTTTCCAATGCTTTAAACGATTTTTAAATTTTCATATAAAAGTTTTAAATACTACGTATAATGAATCATATGAAATATACCCTTAATGAAATATAATATATCTCCTTATGAAATATCCGGAATATCTCCTTAACATCTCTGCCTACCGAACCTTCACGACTTCATGCGAAGGCGACCGGAGATTTCGCCTAAGCCCCGCTTATTAATATGATACAACTCCGACCAGGGTTGGAAAAAATCATGATTTTTTTAAAAAAATTAAAAAAAATCAGATTTTTTTTTTATTTAAATCAGATTTCTTTGATTTTAATTCAAAACAATATTTAAATCGGATTTCTAAATGACTAGGACTTATTTCCAATTAAAGGCCTATCCTTAATGGCTAAATCTATACCCCGATACCGATAACATTAACAATTTTACAGGGCGTGCGATTTTTCCACATCGGTCACCAATATATTCCGCAAAAAAAGTCGTTCGCTTCGGATCAAAAGGATTTTTTTTCAAACGTCTCAAAAGTATTAATTTTTGTCATTTTAACGCCTAGGCATAAAAGTAAAGCACTGTTACGCCTATAAGTGCAAAAGTACAGAAATATATTATTAAACTGACATGAAGTGTCAAATTCAAAGAGTGTACAAATTGTTGCTCGATTACTATTTATATTATTTGCAATGTTTGAAACTGATTAAAAAAATTATTTGTAATGTTTAAAAAAATAGTATGTTCTATTCAGAGTAAAAATGTACTTTTTGTGCCTCCCTGTAACATCGGAATAGCTTTCCGATGGTCCTTCAAAGATACAGCATCGTCAAAAAAGTATAATTTTTACTCCTAATAAAACAATACAGTATTGTTCGGAAATAGTCTTAAGTCGAAAATGAAAATAGTATGTATTATCTAATGTCAAAGTGTAAAGTACTTGCCGCAGATAAAAATGTCGGTAGGAATTTGGAAACATACAACCGATTCAAAAAAAATAAAACAAAATATTTTCTGAAAACGATTATAGATTCTCGGGAATGAAGATATAGTCTCTATATTAGAAGGACTTAGTTCTGCACTAGACTTTGCCAATGATATATTATGTATTGGAACAGCGAATTTTTGTCACTTAAACATAAATTTTAAAACAAATCTCCCTGCGTTTAGCCGGTCTTTAGTTCAAAAATCGGTCCAACAATTAGATTGATGAATATATATTTTTATATAGTTTTATAACATTTTCAATTATTTTTTGCGATTTACTATCTGTTATATATGTTATAGAAATATTTTTTATAGGTTTCTAGGACACATTTTTATAACTTTTACAGTTATTTTTTTATTTATAATAAAGTTTCAATAAAATATTTTTTTATTTAAATCACATGATTATAATTAAAAAAATCACTTGATTTAAATCACGATTTAAATCATGATTTAAATCGTGATTTAAACCACCAAACCGCCAACCCTGACTCCGACTTACGTCGCGTCGCTACCGCACGATGAGTTAGATAGAGACAGAAGACTGCCGTACGTCGTGCATCGACTCTGATAGTAGGCGATGTAGAAATCGCCGAACAAAGGCACTCCAACCGTCAAAATTATTTAGTTTTCTAAGCAGCGGCACAGTCAGCGGTCAGCGTACGCCAGCTGTAGTGAATATGTTAATATCGTTAATATACAAGACCACAAATATTAAAATAATATTGATTATTAAAACACACTACCGTGTATTAACAGTATTTTTATGTATTGGCAACATTAATAGTAAATAATGTAATGTAATAAATCGCTTAAATTCTGCCAAAATCTTAGGGTAGGCGCCGCCTACCTTACCTACCCTGACGAGCCGCCACTGGCTCTTTTGGACTTGAAAATTCAACTATATTTTCATGTTTTCCTTAATTTTCTCTAAAACGGTATGGAAGGGATTAAAACCATTTTAGAATAAACAAAATTATTTATGAAAAATGCATTTTTCTTAAAATGTGAACAATAAAAAAGTTTTTTTCTCTTGTAAAGACAATCCGGGGACATACTATACAGGGTGTTTCAAAAAACATGTGCCATCTCTTGCGGGGAGATTCCTCACGTAAAAATAAGATTTATTTTTCATATCAGCATAGGTCTGATTCTGCTTTTTTTCGTAGCTACAGGGTGTTAAAGTGTTAATAATTTTTCGATTTATTATAATTTTCTTCCACAAACTTTCATTGATTTGAATGAAATTTTGAAGGTAAAAATTACTATAAGTGCTACATATTTTAATGCTAAAAAAGTGTCGATAAATTCACCAGGGACGTGCATACGGGTTATCAGATCACTGAAATAATTTTCCAAAAAAAACATGTGCGCCACTGAATTTTTTTCTTTTGATATCAAAATTGTGTAGGACGTTTCATGCCAATTAAGAGTTATCTCTTGATATTTTGTCGAATTCGGCCTCCTTGATGAGATAAACTCAGTTTTATTAATCACAGTTAATACAATTAAAATAAAAGTGAAATTAATAAATAATTAATTATTTTACCTAATTTATGACTAAATATTATTACTATTAGTTATTATTACTATTAGTCTAACATACAGCAATTTCAAATAATAAAATTATGGTATTTAAGATAATTACAAAAAACCTAATTTTAAAAAGTTTTAACATCCTGTAACTCTAAAACTATGCATTTCTATACCCATGTTTATAGGAACTTTTTTCATGTTTTTTGATGAGAAATCAATGAGTACTTATTTAAAACTTTCTCAAGTTAATGATTTTTTATAGGTTGCTATCGAGGGGCAAAAAATATACACGTACTGCCAAAATAATCTTTCACTGTCAAGCGATTGCCAATGACTACGAAGAAGACTGCCATGTAATTATTATAGGCAACTGCCAGAATACTGCCAATGACTGCCAGCGACTGCCAAAAAAATGTACAGGGTGTCCAATTTTAGTCGAAATCATACGGTATCTCCGTTATTAGTAAAGATAGGAGGATGCGGTTTGCACAAACCTGCGCCACTATTTTGTCAAACGGAAGATGCTGTCAACAAAATTTTCATAGCCATCTTCGTTTCTGAGCTACAGGGTCTTTCTTTCGACTTTCAACTTTTGCAATTTGGGACAGTTCCCGTATCTTCGTTATTATGGATGATATCGAGAAGGTGAAAACTGATTCTTGTAGAACTTTTTACGTAGAATACAGCGGCGTAGTCTATTTTTCTAAGGAAAAAATATTTTTGAAAATATGAACTAAACTTATGTTTTTTCAAATGGTTTTCAAACACCCTGTATATTTATAAATCATATGATCCGCCTTGCTATGAGCTTCTCAAAAATATATATCACTCTATATTTATTTTCACTATTTACGGCAATATTTAAAATATATCGTTTTCTTATTAGTAGGCCGTGATAAATAACAAAAAATCATAAATAGTATTTACTAAAATAGTCATACACTTATTAAAATTTTGTTTGGAATTGATATATTTTACTTTTGAACTGTTACCACTCAATCTCTGAATATATTTTTCTTTTTTTTAACGGAATTAATTATAACGGGATGGGTTTGCAAATATCTAAAAGCCTTGCATTAATAAAGAATTTTCCAGGTGTTCAACATTGTGTTAGTTGCCACGATATATTTCATATTTCAAAAATCCCCAAAATCAGAAATCGAGAAAGGACAACTTCAGAGAGGCCATCATATGGGTCCATTGGTTTCAATTATTCATTGATTTGAGAAATAATAATTTTTTACAAAATTCTAATATTTTTGTTGTAAGTTGTGAGTGGGAGTTCCATCTTTGGGGGGTGAAAGTATATTTCACGTAAATTAGCTAAAGGATTATTTAAAATTTCCGGTACGATAGCTTCCAAGATTTACAAATAGCGGTAGAAAGTTAAGTTTCCCTAATATATAAAGAATTTATTAGTGGCTCTCAAAATAAAACAAGAGACAAATAGCAGTATACTTTTAATAATTCTTTAGTTTCCTTTATTATCAATCATTGCCTACTAATAAATATGTTCTTTTAATATATTTTTTAAATATTGCAGTAAATATTGAAAGTAAATATGGACTGATATATATTTTTCAGAAGCTTATGGCAAGCCAGATCATATAATTTATAAATATACAGGGTGTTCCGTTTAAGAAAGCATAACTTTAATTCATATCTTTAAAAATATTATTTTCGTAGAATAACCGACTACGCCACTGTATTCTACGTAAAAAGTTCTACAATAAACAGGTTTCACCTTCTCGATACCTTTCACAATAACAGAGATACCGGGGGTGTCCCAAATTGCAAAATTTTCAGAAAGACTCTGTAGCTCAGAAATGAAGAGGGCTATGAAAATTTTGTTTACGGTATATTTTGTTTGACAAAAAAGTGGCACAGGTTTGTGCAAACCGCACCCTTCTATCCTCACGAATAACGGAGATACTATATGATTTCAACCAAAATGGGACACCCTGTACATGTAATTCCAATAGTGAGACACCCCTCGGTTGCTATTGACTTGGACCAAGGCAAATTAATAAAATTATGTTTATCTCATCAAGGAGGCCGAAATCGACAAAATATCAAGAGACAACTTTTAATCGGCATTAAACTGCTTACAATATTTCGCTAACAAAAGAAAAAAGTCAGTGGCGTACTTGCTTTTTTTAGAAAAATATTCCAGTGATAACTCATATGCACGTCCCTGATTAATATAGCGACACTTTTTAGCCCTAAAATATGTCGCATTTATAGTAACTGTTACCCTCAAAATTTCAATCGAAACGCTCAAAGTACTTGGAAGAAAAATATAATAAATCGAATAAATATTAAGACTTTAACACCCTGTAGCTAGGAAACAAAGGAGACGTGAGGAATCTCCCCACGAGAGATGGCACATGTTTCCTGAAACACCCTGTATATAGAAGCGGCAGAGAGTCCACGTGGACTTGACGTGTATGTCACCATAAACACTCCGCCACCCATTTCACTGGCTACTTGCAAATTTGTCGAAATTTTATTGATGGGACGCGTCGTCGTCGTCTAATTTTTTTACGAGAAAGATCGATTAAACGGTAACAGAATATCGTTTCCCCTCTTACGGATGCCGCATATGTACAGAACGGATGACGTACTGTAGTAGTATAAATAAGAGAATTATAATAATTGTAATAAAATAAATGTGTGTTTTCCTGATATTACTCTTGTAGTTTAATTACGATTTAAATCATTGATTTTCTACTTTGTTAAAGAAAATAAAATAAAGTTTATACATAATTTCTTATTAAAATTTAGAGTAAATATTTAAGTGTTATTGTGTTTTCTTCTATCATAAAAGATTTATACTTACTATAAAATATAGTACTGGTATCTGCAGAACACACTCCTCCAGTACTACTCACACTATTTTTACTACTGTCTCCGTACACTAATTCCGGTATGTATAGGTAATGAACACATCCAGTGGAATCTTTATAGAGATTTAAATAGACTGGTGTAAATCTAAAAACGACAAAAATATATTAATATTACTCTGTTGACATCTATATCGACATCTGTAAGGTAGAACACCAAGTAAATAAATATCCAATCGATACACTTTATAGTTCATTTTCTGCTGATCAATAATATGAAATCTCGTTGTTCTATCTCATAGAGAGCACTGCTAAATTAACGAACAAATTTATTGATTTTAACTTAACACAGAAACTTTTTAGTAGAATTTAGGCAGATGGCGCTGATGTATTTTTGTAAAACATTCAAATTAATATGGAAGTATAAGTCGATAATAGTTGTAGTTTTCTTAATAAATACAAAAAACAATCAGAAGAAACGGGGATTTAAAAAATATATATATTTTTCCATATCTTGTAAGAGTGGAATGGAGTCTGGGTGTGAGGTGGGACCTTTTCTTCTTCTGCAAGGGGCTAATCTGGACAGGACCTACTTTGTTTATACTGAATTCAAAAAAAAATAAATAATAAAAAACTACAGTTGTTTCATGTGTGTCAAGTCTTTAGTATAACTACCTACTAGTATGTAAATTTTTATGTCAGCAAATAGGAAAAGGTATCCTTATTGTCAGTATTTTATCAATGTAGCAAAATTGTTTTGTAATTTTATTTTTAATATAAATAGGTCTTAAGAGGAAAAAAATAGAATATTTTGCACTTGTTATAAGAGGTCATAAATACCAATTACTCCAGAATATTATGGAAGAAAAAATCCAAGGAGGACGTAGTCGGGGCAGAAGACTAGTGTTGCACAAGAGTCTTGAAAGAGTCTTGCAAGACCAAGACTCTTGCAAGAAATTCAAGACAAGACTTTCAAAATTTCTTGTGTTGAATTTCAATACAAGACAAGACTTTAATATGCAAGAAATTTCAAGAGTCTTGCAAGATTTCCTGAATTCAAGATTTCTTGAAAGTTAGAAATGATACATCTTATTAAGTGATAATTAGGTCTTTGCGCAAGTTATGCCGGATTTATACAAAATTTACATAGTCGTAATCACAATCATAGTCATAATCATAAAAGATAAACTATCCACTTCTTATAAACCTGTTGTCATCTACCATGAACTTAGCCTTTAATTATGTTACCCAACTTCACTGATATAAAAATTATGATTATGAAAATGTTCTATAAACGTACATTAAAATTGCGTTGTGTTTATGACGATTATACAACTCTATGTATATTTTTCCTATATAGAAAGATGTGATTAATAAGTTATAATCATTTAAGTGATTATCGCTTGGTGGCTATATTGTAATTGTCATTTTTTGAAATATTAATTCAGAAGTCATTTCTGTCAGTTCCACAAAATATCCCGTCAATTCTTATTACAAAATGTAAAAAATATATGTACTTTATTTCGTTGTATACATATAATCTTGTGAATATAACTCGATGTTTCGGGATTACCTAATACTTTTACCTGTCACTCAATGCGATAGCGGCAACACTACTCTTCCTTCGGAGTCGTATTTACGAGTAGGGTAACGCATTTCGTGTCAGGTAAAAGTATTATTTGGTAATCCCGAAGCCCATCTTGTGGTATTACATTCAATAATTAAGACTGTTATTATGATTACGACTTATGCAAATATTGTATAAACTCGGCATTAAAATTGACCAGTGTTCATTTTTTTTTCTATTATAGCCAGTGTTTTAGATTTGAGAATGAAATAAAATAAAGTCGAGGCAATACACCGTATATTGGTAATTGGTATTATACACAAAATTATATTGGTATAATGGTATTATGAAAAAAAAAACTGTAATAAAGAATGTAAATTTTTCAAAACAAGAAATTTCAAGAGTCTTGCAAGACAAGACAAGACTTTGCCATTCAAGAAATCTGCAAGACAAGACTTTGAAAATTTCTTGTCTTGAATTTCAAGACAAGACAAGAAATTGATTTTCAAGACAAGAAGTCTTGTCTTGTGCCACACTACAGAAGACGAATATCCTGGCTGAAGAACCTCAGAGAATGGTATTGAATGACGTCGAATGGAATAGCCATGGTGATAGCCAATCTCTATTAGGAGATGGTACTTGTAGAAGAAGAAGGGTTGGTCATACAAAAAAAAAATATTGATAAAAATAACAGAACAGATTCACACAAATAGGGAAGATACAAATTAGATATTGCGGTGTTTCTTTACTTTGTAATTTCTTCCCAATGCCATGCACGATATACTCAGTTTTATTTTTCTCAGGTAAGATTTCGACAGATGATGGCAGAAAAATAGAGTTTACTCTAGGAAGGGGAGGAAAACTCATAAAAAATTAATTGTTGACCCAGACCATAATTTACAGTTAATATTCGGTGCTCAGAGACAGTTTGCTATAGTATTAGCCACAAATAAAGGTTGTATACCATCTCGTATATAGTACCAAAAACTGGAGTATCTGTAAAATAACATAACACGATAGGTAAATAATAAATTTTAGTACTGCAGAGAGTCATAATGTCGAAATGTACTGTTATAAAAAATTAAGATTACGGTTCATTAACCAACTTTTAAGGTAAACTCAATAACTTGTCTCAATTAATAAAATATTTTGTTTTATTTATTTCTATTATGATTATTGCAATATACTTTTTTTATTTGTACATAAGTTATTTTGATAAATGTAATAATTAGTGATAAATTAAATAAGTAAAATTTCCAGAAATATGTTTTCGGAAATATTTCCTGAAATATTGGAAATATATGAAATATTTAAAAAAATAAGATAAACTGAAATATTTATTTATAAAAATCATAACAAAACATCGTAAAACACAAAATGCTTATACATAAACACAAATAAAGAGTTATTCTTCAAATTAAAGTTAAATTTGTACAAAAAAAAAATATTTTTGGCACACTAGTCGAGCAAGAGGCATATCTTCATCGCTGTCATCAGCATCAGGCATATCTTTATCGCTGTCATCAGCATCACACTCAATAACATCTTCTTGCCAGTCTACTTCCTCAAATTCTTCAATAGTATCGGAAATAAAAATTGATATATTGCCGTTTCCTATTTTCTTCAGCAAGTTTTCATTGTGGAATACAAGGTAGCTTAGCGGCTCTATCATTAATAAGCCTGTTTCACTTTTTGAATGAATATGACTATAAACGCTAAAACTGCGTTCCGTGGCAGCTGAAGATGCTGGCATTATCAAAATTCGTGACGCTACTTGTGATAATGAAGATGAAGAACACAGTCCTATCCACCAGGAGACTGGGTTATCAAAACTACTTTTCCATATGAAGTTATTTCCAAATAACTTGCCACTTCTACAACGGTAATCTGCTATTTCATCTATTATTTCTTGCTCCTTTATATTGAGTTTATTTTTTGATATATTAAGTAAGCATTCTATGGCAGAAAGGATTTGGGTTTCATCAAGTTCAGAACCTTGTGATTTTGGATTTAGTAATTCTGCAGCATAATGAATGGGTTTAATAGCAAATTTTTCTCTTTTGTCAAAAAACTCCAACAATTCGGATTTTTGTTTGTCGTCAAGTGAGGACAATGCAAGATTATTCTGAATTGCCCTCCCAACTAGCATTTATAGTGGCAGATATGTAACTGCCACTATCAAAGCCACTACAAAGTGGGCGGTTACCATCGGCGGCTACGTCGTATATTCGTAGCGGCTAAGTAACTGCGACCAAAATGGGGAAAGATTTTGAGTAGCCGGGTAGTGTCTTGGGTAGTTTTTGCCACTAAAAGAGTTACTATGATGTGTTACTATAAAGTAGCCTACTGGTGAATGCGACTTATCCGTTACGAAATTGCCTAGTCGCGGGTTCGTGGCAGCCAAGTGTTAGCCACCGACATGTGGAACTTTCGTTAAACTGTTGAACTTTATTCGCAGCGACCTCTTCATGCAATTTCACATTTCATAAAAATAAATGTCATGATGGAAATAATTATGGAAGCCATTATTATTTTTTCGTTATTTAATTTGTTATTTACCGTGCGATTTTAACGCCTTTTTTAGGTAAATTCTAGAACGCAATCAACTTTACTGAATAAAATAGTGGGTTTATATAACAAAATTTTCGAGCGCCTCTCAAAATATTTCAAATTATTATATTATTTGCAATAAAAACTCATGTTTGTAATTAAAAAATAATAATAATTTGCTTGAAACCGGGGTCAAATTTTAAAATATTAGTCCACCGTCAGAAATAACAAAATAACTAAAGAAAAAAGCTTTAATCTAGGTATATTTAGCTTAAAAACGCATAATGTTTGAGCCATTTGGCTGTTCGTCTAAAAATTCATGAAAAAAATATGGCCGTTTAATCCGAAAAATACTGTATAGTCCCATATGCTTCCACAAAGTACCGGGAACAATAACATATTAGGCCAACCCTACCCGTTTGAACCTTTAAAATCTTCGGATTGATAAAGTGACAATTGTAGCTATCCAAAGGCGACTTTATAGAAACAATAACTTTTTTGGAACTACATGGTCAACGATTCTTTGGAACCATAAAGTGATTTTTCCAAGAATGTTCCCTGCGCCACCAAATTACCACTTAATTGGAGCGTTGCTACACTGATCGTGGTGGTGGCGACTATACATTCCATTGGTGCCACTATAACGTTCCGCCTTGTCCTTTGAAGTTATTTTTTATTTATTGTGCATTTTCTATTATAAGTGTTTCTATATTATTCAGAGCTACAAGAGGTATAGAGTATTTTAACGCCCACTCTTTTAGCTCTTGTTTCATATTGTTATTGGTTCTCAAATTAGTTCTCCTCTGAGATTCAGTTTCAGATGAACTAACACTACACTCATCTACAGAAACAGCTTCAAAAATGTCTCAGTCACTAACTGATTTATGATGTTCATCAGTAGGACTATAGAAAGATGTAGTTTTTGTTTCTGATGTTGATGCATCGGCTCGCAGTGATTCATTTTGTTTAATTCTTCGATAGAAAGTACTAGATATTCTAAATTTCTTTTTATTCACCTTAGGGATTTTACAAAATTTTAATACAGCTTAAAAGCAAGTAAAAGAAAACATTAAAACAGAGCAGCACACTATGCAATCTGACGCAATTATATTTATTAGGGTATATTAAGTTACGGTCACTATAAAGTAGCCGTTTTTGACCCCCGTGACTTTTTAGTGGCAATGGATGTGCGACGGCTACTTTATAGTGACCTAGGAAGGTAGCAGTAACCATTTTGCTACTTTCAATGCTACTATAAATTAGAAGTAACTAGGTGTTGTGGCCGCGACTACCCCGTAACTTAAATTGTTACTATAAAGTAACAAAAACTTAATGGAGGCATTATGGTAGCACTTGTTGGTAACCCCTACTTTGAAAAGTTACTATAAAGTTTTTGGTCTTTTATGGTGTCATATTCGAAGATTCGGGTAGTTCCAACCACTTCTTTAAATTACATGTTTGCGACTTGCAATCGGGGTGTTTATTTTCCACTTTTATGGTAGGTAGGGACTAACCGGTCACTCTCGAAATATACTTCAAAGTGACTATTCCTTATAGAGTAACATTTTAAGTGGCAGATTGGGTCTAGGAACTATACTTTAGGGGCAGTGACATTTTAAAAAGGACTGGGAACTATATTTGCTAGTTGGGCTTCTAATATCACAAAATACTTTTACAGCAAAATGAATAGTGCTATAATCTCCTTCTACAATTTTTAACCATTTGCCAATAGGTTCAAAAATGTTAATATCTACGAGGTCGGGACTTGATAAGTTGGTGAATCCTCAAACTCGATATATTCACCATATTATATGTTTGTAAAACTGTTTTATAGTAAGTTTAATGTTTATAGGGTTACAAAATATGAAAGATATATTAATAAACATCGGGTTTGAATCGTTAATGACAAGATTTAAGTATTTTTAAAAATATGTCCAATATTCCCAGAGACACGTTTGGAAATTTCCAATATTTCCATTTACACAACACTAGTAATAATAAATAGCAGGAAGTTGCTTGAGCTTGAAAGTGAGAAATAGTTCTTTATTACATTTTTTTGGTATGTGGTGTTTTGTTTAAAATACACTCTTGTTTGTTTTGTATTAACACATACCGTATTTTTTTTCTAATAAATTAATTCGATTAGAATTATTCCGTTATATAAAGTTTTTTGTTCACAATATTTTGAAGTAATCGCTTGACACTCAAATTTTAAATATATTATTTTTCTGCTATGCGTTGCAACTTGCAATTGTACCAACTTATTTTTTTTGTAAAATAAAATAGATTACTTTGAAATTAAAATGACAGACACATATATCACTGTCAAGAATCTCGTCGTTGGACAGACTATAGATATTTTTTAACGAAACTTAGTGAATAGGTATATACTTACTTTATTCCACAGACATAATTCGGCCTATGAAATCCAATGGCGTAATATTCTGAGTAGGGATAGCTTAGGTAACTACTAGTCGTCGTATCATTGTAACCAAAAGATCTTATTTCGCCAGAGTGTCCTCTGAAATACTGTATTACACCTTGGGGAGCTAACATAAAATAGTAGTTTAGTCAAATACATCAAACTAATAATTATATCGCTAAAATATTAATATATAAATATTATTATTTATACGCCAAATTAGCATCTCTCGTTATTACTGCAAAATAGCTATACCGGGTGCGTCTCAAAAGTGGCTCACCCCTATAACTTGTTTCTTTTTTCTTTTTTTATTTTTATAATATAAATTAGGATTGATTGGCATATTCAATAAATTGTTTTCGGTCACTTCCTGTTTCACTGGATATGACTACAACTTTTTGATTTTTAAAGGGCACCCTCGGTATTTTTTTACTTCATTCGACATAAAATGACGCGCTGAATAGAATGGCATATCATATGTCAACTTTTGACATTTTCGCATATGGTTTATTTGAAATTATAATTTGCGGTTCGTAACGAAAATTTGACTCGAAATACCAAGTGTGTGGTTTCAAATTATTCGTAAAAAATGCCTTTTCCAAATATGCTAATGAGCCACCCTCATTTCAAAACAAAAACAATTAAACTTTAAAAATTTAAGTTATTTCAGAGTTCAGTTTTACTTCATTTAGCTCAAGTTTGTAGTTGTTTTGCACTTTTTTATATTTTCTCTATATTAACTCCAGAATCCCGAAATGTGTTCAGCAGTAAAGGAAAATTTCAACAAAATATATAATATATTGTGTTCCACGTATAATTGTTCAAGGTGTCCCACTAAGAATAGCTCTCGGCTGTATCTCGGAAAGTATTAGCCGTAGAGCTTACGGAAAAAAATATTTATAAATAAAGGGGCTATGAGAAATTGCTGGAAATTATTTTCAAGTTTGTAAAACGGCCGCTAGAGGGCGCAACTGCTATGGAAAATAGAATTTTTACAGAATTTTGACTAGATAATGAATACTATAAAGGATAGCTTCATAATCTTCAGTAAATTTTGGATTTTTTTCGTTAGAACCATTTTCCCCTATCTGCTAAAATAAAGTGGTGGGGGAAGGTTAGATCTATCTTTATTTAAATGCTAATAATTCCAGACTGGAAGATCAGAATCCAACAAACGAGGGCTCGTTTAAAAGAGCGTTTCTTACTCTGTATTATATCATAAAAATAATAATATTATGGTTTTGAACGTAGACGCTAGGTGGCGCTTTCTTACAATTTAACAAACATAGCGCGTTTTTTCAAAAAAAATAAATACGATAGGATATGTAATTTTAGCTGATAGTAAAGAGTAGTAAAAGCTTAAAAAGTTAGCGAAAACCGCATCTTGATATCTTCTTTCAAACCGAAGATATTAGCAAAATTTTAATAAATACCAAAAAATAAGCCCTTAATTACCTTATTTTTACAACACGGTATCAGTAGCCCTCTGGATTATGCCCATTCTAACAAAAAAAAATAACATAGAAACAGTTAGCTTATTTTAAAATCGACGAAATACCAGAATACCATAATACCAGATGTATTAATATCTAATAATTAAGATATTAATAACTGCACTGAGAGAAAAAAACGTTGTAAAATCAAAAATAATGCTAATGAATCAAATAAAATCAAACATGTTTTGGCCTCATTAATGGTCATAATTGCATTAATAAGATATCTATTGATTTTATGCATATACTCGTATACAAAACATACATGATCATTGTCATTGTTAGTGGTATATCAGATTTGGAATAAAAATGCTGCCAAAAATGCTGCTAAAATAAAAATTTGATTTAAAGAGATATACATTTGTTTATTAGTGTTTTGTTTTTGTTTTTCAAATACAGTCCTTTTATTTCAAGCTTTTCTCTTTATATTTTCAAATGCAATGCTTAATGATTTATTAATATGTCACTTTGTTTAAAACTTGAGTTGATTTTAATCGAATAGGATCAGTACTAACAATTTAAATGAAATAAATATCAAATTTATTAGGAAACTAACTTTATTTCGGAATTAATCTTTTGGTGATAAGTAGGTAAATACAATTGTATTGAATGTCTTCCAAAATCAAAAAAAATAATAGATATCAGGGTATCCTGGTGAATTTTGTCTAGTGACGAATGGTTTTTGTAATGTCCTGAAATTGATCTGTCTTTATTAGATTCCTTCAAAGGTCACAGAGATTCTAAAAAAGAAAGCAACGTTTAGTTAAATATATGATATACTTTTCTCCATCTTAAAACTGGAGTTAACCTGAAACAGAAATGTTTATATACAGGGTATACAGGATTTGCAGGTTTTCTGAATCGTATAATTGCAAAAAACAATATTTTTTAGGTTCCTAACGCCACTATAGATGAGAAAACCGCGCTATGTTGAATTTAAAAAGTGGTGTTCTTAAATTTCTTGAAAAAAAAATTCTTCATTCTTTCGCGAAAAGATATTGTCGTTGGGTAATACATTAAATTTACCACCCTGTACAAATTTCTGTTCTGTACAGGATGAGGCAACGATAGAGTATAGTCCATTATCTCAATAATTGTTTGGAGGTCTACAAATAAATGTTATAGGGAAGGTTAAGATACACGTTTTAAATTATTGTAGAATATATTTGTATTGTATATTTTTTTGTAATATTGTATATTTTTTTGTATTGTATATTATTTGTATTGTTATATTGTAGAATATACTGGGTGCTTCATAAAGTAAAAAAAAAAAATAAGGAAGGTTGGAAAAAATATTTTTTTTATTTATTTATTAATATCTCTGATATTATCGAAATATATTTACTCATTATAATATATTATGTAAAGTGGTCCAAAAGGAAGCCAAAAATGCAATAATATACAGGGTGTTCCATTTAAAAAAAAAACATACCGATCCACTTACACATTTTTGAGCCACCCTATAGAAGTTGAAATATTTTCCTGAAATACATCCTCGTACATACTTTAGGTTTGAACTTAAACAAAATTGTGAAGTTTATTATTCTAGGAGCTACAGATGCCCGACGCACTACTGCCGGACCCTGTATATTATAAAAAAAATAATATTAGATAAAAAAGTTATAGAATTTTACGTAGAATTTAAAAAATAAAATAAAAAATAGGGTGTTGCATTTAACAATTTATATCCGCAACACTTTTTTAAAGCACTCTGTATATTCTACAATAATTTTAAAATGTGTGTCTTAACCCTCCCTATAACTTTTATATTTAACATTTTTTGTAAATCTCAAAACAAAGGAGATATTGACCTTACTCTATTGTTGACTCACCCTGTACATTCTGTAATGTTCATCAATATATTTTTTTAGCTTTTATACTGGTACGAGCTGTAGTAAGTTCCACCTTTTTAACAATTTTGCTAGCTTGACTTCGTATTCCTTTACATCTGAATTTTCATCATTTAGTGAAATATTACTTTACAAATTTGAATTGTTGAATTCGTCCAGCGTTAAATTCAAAATCACAATGCATCATTTCGGCCGGCGTCGCGCGTCGGTCGTTTCCATCACTCTTCAAGGAAACCTTTGGCCGCCATAATGCTACTGAAATAATATTAACATTTGATCATTCTAAACAACTACTTAAACAACACATTACCTGTAAACATTACAATTCTCCTTTTTGTCACTAACAACTGTCATATACAAATTTGAATTGTTGAATTCGTCCAGCGTTAAATTCAAAATCACAATGCATCATTTCGGCCGGCGTCGCGCGTCGGTCGTTTCCATCACTCTTCAAGGAAACCTTTTGCCGCCATAATGCTACTGAAATAATATTAACATTTGATCATTCTAAACAACTACTTAAACAACACATTACCTGTAAACATTACAATTCTCCTTTTTGTCACTAACAACTGTCATATACAATAAATATCATTGTACTATTCAAAATCAGGGAACGCGACAAAAATCATACAACAACGTGTGGCTTAATCGGGCTTATCCCGTCAATACCGCCAAACACCATCTTTCGATGTCCACCTCAAATGCATGCATGACTTTCTATTGGCAAATATTAATCACGTGGCAAAAGCCTAACAGAAATGTTAGCAATTCTTATAGAAATAAAATACTCTGGTGCTTAAAATAAATTTATTATAAGGATGTCTTATTGGAATAGACAAGCAACACTTTTCAAAAATAATAAAGCAATGCCAGTTTATTTTAAACCTGGTTCTTTTGAAACATATAGAGTAATAATTACTTTAAAAGGACTAAATATTAGATATCCGATTTTTATTTATTTCGAATGCTTTAATTTTTATTATGTATATACAACAATATTATATTACCAGCAATCGTTATTAAAACAAATAATTAGATAAATCGAATTCCATACAACGAGTTAATTATTTTAACGTGATTTATTGTACATTTTAAAATGCATTTTTTTTGAGTGTGTGAACAAGAAACGATAATTCAGTGAAGTCAAGTAGGCTTTGATAAAAAGTTGCTTTTGACGTAATAGTATAAACGTCAAATTGTTATTAGAGCAACATTTTGATAATCTTTTATCTATTGATTGCTTTTTCAAAATGTCAACAACTTCAGCTACTTCAAATAATAAAGGCATTTTGAAAAAGCAATTAAAAGATAAAAAACGCTGCTAAGACTATTAAAATATTGATCTAATAACAATTTGACGTTTATACTATTACGTCAAAAGCAACTTTTTTCCAAAGCCTACTTGACTTCACTGAATTATCGTTTCTTGTTCACAGTTAATAATATCTTAATTATTAGATATTAATACATCTGGTATTTCGTCGAATTTAAAATAAACTAACTGTTTCTATGTTATTTTCTTGTTAGAATGGGCATAATCAAGAGGGCTACTGATACCGTGTTGTAAAAATAAGGTAATTAAGGGCTTATTTTTTGGTATTTATTATTATTTTGCTAATATCTTCGGTTTGAAACGAGGTTTGAAAGAAGATATCAAGATGCGGTTTTCACTGACTTTTTAAGCTTTTACTATTCTTTACTATCAGCTGAAATTATAAATACTATTGCATTTAATTTTTTTGAAAAAACGCGCAATGTTTGTTAAATTGTAAGACAACGCCCCCTAGCGTCTACGTTCAAAAGCTTATTATTATTGTTTATATGGTGCAATATAGAGTAAGAAACGCTTTTTTAAACGAGCCCTCGCTTGTTGAATTCCGATGATCCAGTCCAAAGTTATTAATATTTAAAGAAAAACAGATCTAACCTTCCCACACCACTTTATTTTGGTAGATAGGGAAAAATAGCTTTAACAAAAAATTATCAAAATTTACTGAAGATTATGAAGCTATTACTTATAGTACACCTTATCTAGGCAAAATTGTGTAAAAACTCCATTTTCTTATTTTTTGTTGCAGTTGCGCCCCCTAGCGGTCATTCTAGAAACTTGAAAATAATATCCAGCAATTTCCCATAGCCTCTTTAGTTAGAAATATTTTTTTTCCGCAGCCCTTACGGCTAATACTTTCCGAGATACATCCGAGAGCTATTCTTAGTGGGACACCCTGTACACTGTCCAGCTACGCACTACCATAAATAATTTTTAGGTATGTTATGAAACTTTTTAGTTAGGAATACCCTTTGGTATTAATAAGGTACATACCCAATAAACTAAAATCGTTTGCTATCTCATCAATATCTGAAAACTTGCTGATATCAAATCGGTGTTTCTTCAAAGGACATTCCAGTTGAGTAAACTTAATTTTCCAGCTTGGTTTCAACAAATTAAGTGTTGTCAATCTATTAGCCATGTTAATTTCTAGGGTAATAGCATTGACGTGGTCATCTGATTGGTTCACATGGACATAAACTTAAATAGAAAAAAATAGTGTTAAACAAAATTATGTTATTATATTCTTAGTTACATTTTTCCCTATGACCATATACTGTAATAATATTCATTGTTTTCTTTGCTGCCTAATATTGTACAGCAGAGGTTGTAGTCTGTGTCAATTTTAACTGTGTCAATTTTAAAACTTTCCACCCTTAATATATTTCTTGCAGTTACAAATATGAAAAATCGGAAAGACACGTCTTACAATTTATTTGTTAGGGGGATACTTTAAATGAATAGTTTTAGCCTTTTTCTTTCAACCCCCTAAGAGGGATAGATGTCACCTTTACAATCTTAAATGGGAATGGGGGTCAAGTGGCACATCGTTTTAAAGGGCGTTTAATTCTCTTTTCAGTGGTATCCTACTTTGTTGCTTTTTCTCCAGAGGTTTTCGAATAATCGCGTTTCAAAGTTGTAGAAATAATTAAACATGCCTGCATTGGGATTTTGGTTTTCAGGCTAGCGTTTACACAAAAATTACTGCAATGGATCTCCTTGTAGTACAAATGATTAGAAGATCCTACATACTACACCACTTACGCCCTTATAAGTTGTTCAAAATGTTTTCCATTTTTCTGTAAACAATTATAAAGTCTGTAAACATTCCGGAAAACTTCACAGGAAATTGACCGGCATTCTGCTGTAATTCGCATTTTCAGATCATCAATCAGTAGGTTGTGTTTTATAAACAATGGATTTAAGATGTCCCCAAAGAAAGAAGTCTAATGGTGTTAAGTCACAGGTGATCTTGGAGGTTATTCAATTGGCCCCTTTCTATCAATCCATGTACCCGGAAATCTCTCGTTTAGCCACTGTCGGACCGGAAGAAAATAATGAGGTAGAGCACCGACCTGCTGGAATGTTAACAAATCCTCTTGTAAAACTGGATTACCCTTTGCATCAATTTGAGTTTCTAGCTCTTGTGTGATAAGAAGATTAATAGTCTCTTGAAGCATATTAAGATACAGATTACCTTTTCCTTCAATCACAACAAGATCACACAGATTCCTTCAATAAATAAAGGACCAATAATGGCATTTCCAAGAATACCAGCCCAAACATTAACTTTTTGGGGATATTGTATATGTCCTTCTCGAAAAATATGCGGGTTTTCGTCATTCCAATTCGTTTGTTCAATTTTGTTTGTTAACATTTCCTACATTCATCGGAAAAAACAGATATTCGGCAGAATGTTAGGGTTGGCGTTAATTTGACGAATCATGATTTCACAAAACTCTATTCTTCTATCAAAATCATCGTCATAGAGTTCTTGAAGTACCTGCATTTTGTATGGATGGAATTTATGCATTTTCAGTGTTTTTCTTACAGTCTCGTGTGATATTCCTGTCTGTTGTGCTACTGTCCCCAAGGAGCTGGTGGGCTCTGCAGCAAATAATCCTAAAACCAATTTGAGCTCCTTCATTCATCACTCGTAGGCTATTTCTTTTTCTATTACTCACCGAACCAGTTTCGGAGAACTTTGCCACCAAATCCAGCACATATCTGTGACTTACTTCACGATATTGATTTCATTCATTGAAAACCAATGCCGTTCTTCGTGCGCACTTTCCAACCTCTCCATAAATGAAAATAATTTCAGTTCTTCCTTGAAGAGAATAAACCATTCTCACACTTTATGGCACTTATTTCACTTTATGCACTTAATTTCACTTATCACTGAACAGCCCAACAAGCAAAAGCGAATTAAGAATAGTCATATTCCTGTTTTAAGTTTTTTAGCTATCTTTTAAATTTGCTGAACATTTTTTTTTTCTTAACACAACAACGTATTTTTAGAATTTGTTGATAGAATAGCAAGGCATTTTGTGGAATTTCAGTAATAAGACATCGAATAAACGCAAATTAACTAGGTAGGTACTATTTTTTTAGATTATTTTTGATGTAAATTTTTTGAGGTTACTTTGCCAATCCCGAATTTGAGAAAAGAAACGTTAATATTTATGATGTTTTCAGTATTTCGACCCCCTAGAAAAAAGTAATGGCTACGTCCATGTTGCCACCTAATCTTCTAATCATTTGTACTACAAGAAGACCCATTGCAATAATTTTTGTGTAAACACTAGCCTGAAAACTAAAATCTCAATGAATGTTTAATTGTTTCTGCAACTTTGACACGCGATTATTCGGAAACCTCTGGACTAAAAGCAACAAAGTAGGATACCATTGAAAAGACAATTAAACGCCCTTTGAAACGATGTCCACTTGACCCCCATTCCCATTTAAGATTGTAAAGGTGACATCAACCCCTCCTAGGGGGTTGAAAGAAAAAGGCTAAAATATTCATTTAAAGTGTCCCCTTCACAAATAAAATTGACGTGTCTTTCCGATTTTTCATATTTTTAACTGCAAGAAAGATATTAAAGGTGAGCAGTTATAAAATTGACACAGTGTATAGATATAATACGTAAACATCATTACACCTGACAATCTATTTGACTTATTAACTTGAACAAAATAAAAGTGGGTAAATTTAACAAAATTATCGTAGCCCTGGGGGGTAGATACTTATATTTCATATAAAGTTGTTATTTGAATTTATTTGACATTAAGTTCACATCTTATACTGCCAAATGAATTGTACAAGACATTTAGCCAATGTAATTAGATAAATATAATACCAGAAAAAAAGGTGGCATTATAAAAATATTTACAATATAAATAAGCATAGTAATAGTATTATAAAGAATATACAAAAATAATTATAGCTTACCGTGCTGGTTAGAATTATTTCCACATAACAGTGGAATTCCGTAAAAACTGGGACCAACTCTTAGTTCATCAGTTGTACATAAATATACTTGCTTATTAGTTTCAGAAGGTAAGGTTACTGCTGTAGTTCCAGCCAATACAAGTTCTTCAAAATCTAGCCTATAATTTATAAGTACAAATTAGCTTTCTAGCGATTATTTGATAGCATCACGTCTGATGATATCAAGAATTTAGGTATATAAAGTGAGCTTCATGAAAATCTCACTAAAGTTATTCGACAATATATGGACCAGAGTATTTTAAAATGTTCTGAAAATTCATCAAATCACATTGATTTGATGAAAGACTAGTCTCTAAAGAAAGCAATTTTACCATTGTTTTTTGTTGACGGTAAAAAAATATTAATATAATCAATAGATATTAAAATATAGCATGCACTACATTTATTTTTTACTGACCTCACTTGACAAACATTTCTGTTTCTTAATTTAATTGTGTATTTACACTGGGTTACCGCCGGATTTAGATTGATAGAATCGAAGTAATCGCTCCTCTTGTCTGTGCTTTTGATACAGTTATTTTCATCTAAAATATGTTTAAATTTATCAATTATGTTAAATGGATTTATTAATAAAAATAAAAAAGAATTAATTAAAACAAAAACTAAAATAATCGGATACTAAAATGACTAAAGTTAATATAAGAGAAATATCTTATAAGAAAAACACAAATAATTTCACTAAAATGAAGCGCTTAATAGTAAAATATATTCCAATGCCAATATCCACTACGGTTACGAATCCTTTACTTGAAAACAATTTGTATTTTTATATTTTAAAAAAATTGATAAATGTTTTATTTTTGTTTAGACTTGCATATATTTTAAACAACTAGTTAAGGACTCAATACTGTACCGGGTGTCCCACTAAGAATAGCTCTGGGCTGTATCTCGGAAAGTATTAACCGTAGGGCATACGGAAAAAAATATTTATAACTAAAGTGGCTATGAGAAATTGCTGGAAATTATTTTCAAGTTTATAGAATGACCGCTAGGTGGCGCAACTGCTATGGAAAATAAGAAAATATATTTTTTACAGAATTTTGCCTAGATAATGGGTACTATAAATAATAGCTTCATAATCTTCAGTAAATTTTGGATTTTTTTGTTAGAACCGTTTTTCCCTATCTGCTAAAATAAAGTGGTGGGGGAAGGTTAGATCTATGTTTATTTAAATATTAATAACTCCGGACTGGATGATCAGAATCGAACAAGCGAGGGCTCGTTTAAAAGAGCGTTTCTTACTCTATATTATACCATAAAAATAATAGTAATAAGGTTTTGAACTTAGACGCTAGGGGGTGCTTTCTTACAATTTAACAAACATAGCGCGTTTTTTCAAAAAAATTAAATACGATAGTATGTGTTATTTTAGCTGATAGTAAAGAGTAGTAAAGCCTTAAAACGTCAGCGACAACCGCATCTTGATATCTTCTTTCAAACCGAAGATATTAGCAAAATTATAATAAATACCAAAAAATAAGCCCTTAATTACCTTATTTTTACAATACAGTATCAGTAGCCCTCTTGGTTAGGCCCATTCTAACAAAAAAATTAGATAAAAATAAGAAACAGTTCGTTTATTTTAACGATATACCAGAATACCCTAATACCAGATGTGTTAATATTTAATAATTAAGATATTAATAATAGTGAACAAGAAACGATGATTCAGTGAAGTCATGGTGGGCTTTGGAAAAAAGTTTTTTTGCGTAATAGTATAAACGTCAAATTGTTACTAGATCAACATTTTGATAGCCTTAGCAGCGTTTTTTATCTTTTAAATGCTTTTTCAACATGCCTTTATTATTTGAAGTAGGTAGTTGGAAGTTGTTGGCATTTTGAAAAAGCAATCAAAAGATAAAAAAAACGCTGCTAAGTCTATCAAAATGTTGATCTAATAACAATTTGACGTTTATACTATTACATCAAAAGCAACTTTTTTCCAAAGCCTACCATGACTTCACTGAGTCATCGTTTCTTGTTCACTATTATTAATATCTTAATTATTAGATATTAATACATCTGATATTATGATATTCCGATATATCGTCGATTTTAAAATAAACTAACTGTTTCTATCTTATTTTTAGGTTAGAATGGGCATAATCAAGAGGGCTACTGATACCGTGTTGTAAAAGTAAGGTAATTAAGGGCTTATTTTTTGGTATTTATTATAATCTTGCTAATATCTTAGGTTTGAAAGAAGATATCAAGATGCGGTTTTCGCTGACTTTTTAAGCTTTTACTACTCTTTACTATCAGCTAAAATTGCATATACTATTGCATTTAATTTTTTTGAAAAAACGCGCAGTGTTTGTTAAATTGTAAGACAACGCCCCCTAGCGTCTATGTTCAAAAGAAACGCTCTTTTAAACGAGCCCTCGCTTGTTGGATTCCGATCATCCAGTCCAGAGTTATTAATATGCAAATAAAAACAGATCTAACCTTCCCCCACCACTTTTTTTTGGTAGATAGGGGAAAATGGCTTTAACAGAAAATATTCAAAATTTACTGAAGATTATGAAGCTGTTACTTATAGTACACCTTATCTAGGCAAAATTGTTTAAAAACTTCATTTTCTTATTTTTTATTGCAGTTGCGCCCCCTAGCGGTCGGCTAAAAACTTGAAAATAATTTCCAGCAATTTTCCATAGCCTCTTTAGTTATAAATATTTTTTTCCGTAGCAGCTACGGCTAATACTTTCCGAGATACAGCCGAGAGCTATTCTTAGTGGGACACCCTGTACAATGCCAAGAAAATGTACAATGATTTGCCTTCGAATATCAAGTCACTTTCATTCTTTCCCGCATTTCGCAAAGCTCTGAAATTATACTTACTGGAGAGAGCCCTATATGCGGTAAACGACTTTTTTGTTGATGTTTAATCATGAACAATTTTAAATTTTAAAATTTTGATCATCTCACACACTGGTTAAAGGTCTAGTATTTAATATTTAATATTTTATAACATAATTTTATCCATTTTTACAGTTTTCCTTTTGTAAAATCTTCTAGATACGCCTGTGTTCTGCAATGTCCATGTATGTTTTATTTGCAATTTTAATGACGTAATTTTTTTGGAATTGATTTGTATTGTATGACATTTTTTATTATTTGTATATTTGTTTTTGTGCTTTTTTGTTATGTGAATGCTTTGTCGATGAAGGTGTTTTGGCTTTTTGTACAATAAAGCGTGGTTTCTTTTTACCAACCTTGTGATGTATAACAATTAACAATAAATTTAACTTACAATTGCAACAGGTAAACAAAAATCCGTAATGTTTATGTGGCGTTCCACCAGTCAATTTGCATTTTAATTCTTCCATGAGAATACCCGTTCTGGAATCATCAATTTTACATTGGGCAAATGGTTTATGCTTTTCTAAAATAGTTATAAATATTATGTATATGTATGAAATAATTGGTTATTAATTTCAGTTCAATTCTATGTAGGGTCAGAGTCATCTCATAAGCAAAAATACAACTTTGACATATTCATTTGAATCAATAAATGTATGCCTACCATATTGTAAAAACTGTTAATCGGCTCATCTCATTATAAATATACCGTTACGATAGGTTTAATAAATAAAATATGACCACTACATTTAAAGGCTTATAAACAGCCGCCCATAAAAACATACAAACATAAAAATAAATGAGTAAGTATTATTGATTTAACTGTACAGGGTGTCCTATTTTGGTTGAATGGGACTCCGTTATTCGTGAAGATAGAAGGGTGCGGTTTGCACAAGCCTGTACCACTTTTTTGTCAAACGGAAGATTCCGTAAACAAAATTTTCATAGCCCTCTTCGTTTCTGAGCTACAGGGTCTTTTTGAAAATTTTGCAATTTGTGACACCCCTTGTATCTCTGTTATTGTTAAATATATCGAGAAGGTAAAAACTGTTTATTGTAGAAATTTTTTCGTAGAACACATTGGTGTAGTCTGGCATTCTACGGAAATAACATTTTTAAAGATATGAGCTAAAGTTATATTTTCTTGAATGGAACACCCTGTATATTTATAAATTATATGATCTGGCTTGCCATAAGCTTCTCAAAAATATATATCACTCTATATTTATTTTCACTATTTAGTGCAATATTTGAAAAAAAATATATTAAAAGTATGGAGGGCTTAAAAAGGAGGTTTATCAGCAATGGGCATATTTGAAATTTCTGTCCCCACTTTTAAGCAGGTTCCTCGGTTTGACAGTAGAGGCACTGCGATCGATAGGGATACTATATTTTCATTGTTATTATACGGTTTAAGTTTGCTTTTGCTAAAATTATAGTTAATTTGTTGAATTTTTAGCAGTATAACAATGAGCACTGTGAAAAAAAAAACTATACAGTAGAAATAGCTCGGTATCTGGCTGTAGAAGTGAATATTTCAATGAAAAAAAAGCGAAGAAAGAAAAGTAACCCAAAACTTTTCAAAGCTCCTAATGTAAGTAATATGATTATTTATTTAAAAAAAATTATGATAGATGTTAAGAAAAACATTAAAATTATATACTATCAGTGTACAGATTTATTTAAAAATCATATTAATAGAGAATATAGCCCAAAATCGAACATCTGCATGACATAACCTAGAGAGCCTAAAATAATAATAATTTAATACTTTAATACCTACTAACATGTTATTATATATGTGCTACTAGGTGTTTAAATTACCTGTTATTAAATAAGTAGGTATTAATAATATATATATTAACAACCATTGCTATTAAATATTATTTGAATATTATAGAAAGTGAATATTAAACATTATTTACACTTCAAAAATGTAGTTTCAAAATAACAGCTACTTCGAATAGAGAAAAATATTTTTTTAAATTTATTTAATAATTAAGTATATCTCTTTTACTAGGATGACTAGGATCCTAGCATCGACAAAGAAGAAAGACATCCTAACTTCCTACAGCATTGGCAAAGTGCAGTTCCCCAGACAAAATACTTCACAGTAGTGATGTGTTTTATGCACTTATTTAGACAAAATTAGTTGACGGAACTATCAGTAGATAAGGGTAGATAATTTATTTTACTATTAGTAGATAATTTCTTTATTGTATATTCAGGTGTATATTACATTTATTAAATTTACCTACTTGGAGTTAGTCAATTAATCGAAATAAAAGTTATGTATTTATATTCCTAAATAAATAAATTTAATGTTTCAATGCTTTCAATGTTTTCTGTAAGCCTATTTTTTAATGTAGTTTTTAGAGAAGGTTTTTTACCATGTTGAGTAAGTTCTTTCTACTTAATGACTTTTATAGTCTTTTTTCTGTAACATGTATTTCCATTTCAGTGTCCTGAGGATGGAATAAATAGAGATTGACCATTAACAAAGTGTATTAATTGTAGTCCAAACTCTTCCAACTGCAACCCCACTAGTTCCTAGATTTTCTTTCTCACTAGTCAGTCGATACTACTCGATAGAATGTATACACTAGGAATACATACAATATGATAGAAAATACGGCGTCAGCGATCATTTTATATATAAAATTATTTGGGGAATGTCATAGATGTTTATTTCCCAGCCAACTGGACCCCGTTTTTTTCGATCATACGTTAGTCCTTGACTTATTATTTTATTTAGAAACCTACCTCATACTCGTATTAATAAAAAAGTGGATATCAACAAAAGGAACTTTAATTACAGATCAAATCAAATGTATACATATGTATTTATAACACAATTGTTAGGTGACATTGAACATAATACATCTTCAATTTAAATGTCTGTGAAACAGTCATAATTGGTAAAACTTTGCTAATGACATCAGAGATGACATTAAAACTTACAATTTAGAAAAGCTAAAAAAAAAAAGTAAAAAGAGATACACAATACCAATCAAACAAGATAAGTGCAATATTTATATTATATAATTCCTGATTAATTTTCGTCATTCATTTGCTGTAATTTGTCATAAACCACTACTAGTTTGAAAGTTTTTAATGTCTATTATTAGTATCACAATGAACTGCACGTAAACATGTCCATTCCAAGTGTTTTCATGAAAAATTATGAAACTTTAAACTGCATCAGCAAAATTATTAATAAATCACTAACACACTCACATCATAAACTATTTAATTCACATTTCTCATCAAGGAACAATTACTGTTTACATCAAATCAAAGGTTGAACTGGTGATACGTTTGTTGCTGGAACTTCTATATTTTGTGTACACCAGTTGAAGGAAACATATACTTTAGCAGCTTATATTTTTCTTCGGCCGTGTATGCACTAAATAGAACCCCATAATAAGACATTTTTATAATAAGAACTTAGGAAAAGAATATTTAAAGCCGGCATCTGATATAACCTAACTAACTTTTCAAACTCAAATTTAAGGTTTTGTATTCACAATTTTAGCCACGCACATTGCTCAATTAGAAAAAAAAAAACACGTTTCTAAAAGCTAACTCTGGTAAAAATATGCCCAAATATTAACTTGGCTCTATAATTTATAACAAAATAGTTATTCTTGCCATAAGAAGCTGTGTATTTCTAGTATCCCTATCGTCACATGCGCCCCTAACGGCGATTTTCGAACTTCATTTAGATCATGAAATCTGGGCCCAAAATTTTTGCGTTCGATTCGCCTCCTCCTTTTAGACTCCATAATTAAAAGATCATATTTATTAGTAGGCCATGACTGATAATAAAAGAAACTAAAGAATTATAAAAAGTATACTGCTATCTGTCTCTTGTTTTATTTTGAGAGCCACTAATAAATTCTTTATGTATTAGGGAAACTTAACTCTCTACCGCTATTTGTAAATCTTGGAAGCTATCGTATCGGAACTTTTAAATATTCCTTTAGCTAATTTACGTAAAATATACCTTCAGCAAGATGGGGCTCCTCCTCACAACTTTACTTACAACGAAAATATTAGAATTTTGTTAAATTATTATTTCTCAAATCAATGAATTGGAACCAATGCACAGTGGTTCCCCTTAATTAGCTGCGCGGTCATAACTGTTAGATATCTAGATACCTATAGCTTGACTGCACTTTTTTTAATAGAAATTAATAACAAATGCTAAATAAATGTATATAAAAAACTTAATGTAATATGTATTAAAAAAATGGGCCCAGTTCGTGTGATTTGCATTTTAAGTTCTATCTATTCGGAAAGGTATACAGATTATGTTTGCACATATGTACATGTTTTTTTCATATTGAAGAGGTCAAATTTATTTTAAATGTTAAAAAAAATAAAAGAGACAGACATTTTATAAATACAATTTTATTGTCAATTGATATACAGTGTGTCCACGAAATAGTTGACACGAAGAGGAAAAAATAAGTTACTTATTTATTTTAAGACAAAAAGTCAAATAACCACCCGATATAACCAACCGGTATAAGATCCGGCGGCAATTCGCGGCAGCCAGTGGCAATCAATTTATATGCAATATACTTTAAGCAACAAGTATTATCATGCCGTTTAAGAGGATTTGAAAGGGAAAGTAGTTAAAAGTCTTAAAGAGTGACAAGCAAAAATGTAAAAATACAAGGGAATATAAGAAAAGTATTAGCAACAGTTTCATGCAAACATTTTGAAATTAATATTTCTAATGACCTATCTGGGAACCACTGTGCAATGGACCCATATGATTGTCTCCCTGATTCCCGGATTTACCCTTTCTCGATTTCGAATTTTGGAGGATTTTTGTAATATGAAATATATCGTGGCAATTAACACAATGTCGAACACCTGGAAAATGCTTTAATAATGCAAGCTTTTAGATATTTGCAAACCCATCCCGTCATAACAAATTCCGGTATAGGTAGAGGTTGAGTGGTAACAGAACAAAAGTAAAATATAACAATATTTTAATATGTGTATGACTATTTTAGTAAATACCATTTTGATTTTTTGTTATTTATCACGGCCTACTAATGAGACAATGATATATTTTAAATATTGCCGTAAATAGTGAAAATAAATATAGAATGATATATATTTTTGAGAAGCTCATAGCTAGGTGGATCATATGATTTATAAAGATACAGGGTGTTCCATTTAAAAAAGCATAACTTTAGTTCATATTTTCAAAAATATTTTTTCGTAGAAAAACAGACTACACCACTGTATTCTACGTAAAAAGTTCTACAAGAATCAGTTTTCACCTTCTCGATATCATCCATAATAACAGAGATACGGGAGCTGTACAAAATTGCAAAATTTTCGAAAAGATCCTGTAGCTCAGAAATGAAGAGGGCTATAAAAATGTTGTTGACAGCATCTTCCGTTTGGCAAAAAAAGTGGCACAGGTTTGTGCAAACCGCATCCTTCTATCTTTACTAATATCGGAGATACCGTATGATTTCAACCAAAATGGGACACCCTGTA